TAGGAAATTTTATTATTGAATGAATTATTCTCTCTGCACAAAGAAAGATAGAAACGGTGACGCTATAAGTTCTTCTATAAGCCAGAACTGATTGTTTGGATTTGGTCTTGAAATGAGGAAAAAGGCGAAATTGAACCCGAAAACTGGAAAAATACATTAAGCGAACGAGAAAGGAAGTGCCAAAACCTCGGAAAAGATAAAAAGTACCAGTATCCATTATATGGCTAAACGAATGTATAGTAGACAGATGAAGAGAATACTTCAACATGCTGCTAAAAGGGGGTCAATTGCAGTTTGGATGATATTAAGTGGACGATGTAGGTTTATTATGGTAAAAATCACTTTATTTTCGATTGCTGAAGGTGCACATCGGGACTATCTTCACTTTGAAGCAGGATATAGAGAGGTATATCGAGAAAGTTATAGCTCATAGCTCTCCTTCTGCTTAGTGCATTTGCAAACGATTTTTTAAGGAATCTAAAAGGAAAACCTGCTTTTCTGAAAGACAATTAGATATTAGCACAATCCTAAGAGTAAGGCACTAAGGAGATAGAGAGATATTTTTCGTTGTATATAGACTTCTCTATAACATGCCTTAAAGTGAAGCCAGTCTCAATTTTCAACTTCTTATTCTCGACAATATTTCTTATTCCACCTTCTACGATTCTTGAGTATAATTTCTTTGGTACACTAAACAGGAATGGATCTTGATGGGTATTACATTAAGAATCGTAGAAGCTGGAATAATAAATATTGTCGTTTGCCAGAGCGATATATATTGAGAAACTCAAGTTGCACATTGGAAGAGAAGTTATTCTCTAAGTATTCTCTTCATCTGTCTACTATACATTCGTTTAGCCATATAATGGATACTGGTACTTTTTATCTTTTCCGAGGTTTTGGCACTTCCTCTCTCGTTCGCTTAATGTATTTTTCCAGTTTTCGGGTTCAATTTCGCCTTTTTCCTCATTTCAAGACCAAATCCATACAATCAGTTCTGGCTTATAGAAGAACTTATAGCGTCACCGTTTCTATCTTTCTTTGTGCAGAGAGAATAATTCATTCAATAATAAAATTTCCTATTTATTTATGATATAGTCCAACTTCCGCACAAAATAAAGGAAATAAAAATTAATTTTTTAATTAGTGATATATGAGTTTTACTATACAACCCAGCAGCTATTCATTATATATAGTTCAGATTAGGTATATATTATTTTAGTTTATAAAACAGGTATTAATACGACTCATTTCCTGGGAAGTATATATAAATTTTAATTACCTTTAAGAATCAGTAAATATACAAAACACAATGTTAAATTGCAAACGTTAAATAAAAAAAAAATCAAGATATTTAGCAAAGTTTTTAATTAAGTTTTATTATTATAATTATATCATTTTTACAATCAAGGTCTTCTTAAACGACCTACGTGTAGAAATAAAGAAGGTTAAATAAAAAAAAAATAATAAATTTTTTAAAAAAATTTTAATTTTTTTTTTTTACAATTAAATTATTGCATTAATATTTGTTCGTTAATAAAACCAATATAATGTACCAAAAATGTTATTATATCACTTTAACTAAGCCATTTATGTGTACTGAATGGTGTGGTAGAGGCCTGTAGGCACCCACGCCAGTACCGCTTTTCTGCCGCATAAGTGCATTTTCTACGGAACTGTTCAAAAGTTTTTAAAAAATAATCAGCGTTTTGGAAAGAAAAATATATTCTCCAGATGGTTTATTTCAGCACGTTTTGCGTTATTGTAGGCCGTTTAATTACAAATGACGCTTGATTTTTAACTTGAAAATTTTTTTGTTAAAAAAATTGACTTTAGTAGTGTTTTTCATAGTCTAAGCCAATTATTTTTTAATATTTCTTCATGGTTTATTATTCTATGACTATTCAGCTTTAATAAAAGACCAACTATGAGGAAATTAAGCCAAATGCTGATTCGCAGTGACCAAAAAACTAACTAAAGTCAAAGTCGTCAATCCGCCATCTTTGGACGCCATTTTGGGGCAGTGCGTTCACTTTTTTTTGTGGGAACATTGGCTTTTTTTTAATAAATAGTTACAAGGAACACAACGATATGCAATTTATAGGGATGTGGGGGGGGGGGGTGCATGGTAAGGGGGTCTGGCCCACAGACTATTGGGTCTTGTTTAGATTAGGCCCACCAGTTATTTTATCTAGTAACAGTTACTTATAGATAAATTATAAAATATGGGTTAAATAAATATACGATTTATTTAATAGAAACTTTTTATACATAACCAAAAACATTAACATACTTTTAATGAGTTACTCCAGGTACCTCTGGAGGCCAAAATTTTACTGTATCCTTAAGGATTTTATCAAAAAAGTCTTCATTTCAGTTTCTCTGCCTCCACATGAGCTCAAATAGCTCAAATAAATATGAGTCTAACATAGAGCGATGAGTCCCACATTCTTTTTTGTTTCTCCTTTGGGCCTTCGCCCACATAGACTCAACTCTTTGAGTGTGAGCACCAGTCTCTTGGTTGACAAAATTTTTGGAGTGATTTATAGTACAATAACTGTAATCCTTTCCAATCATTCCTTCTAACCGACTATAGGACTTCCACAGTTCAGACACCCGGTCTAATTGATGTTCTTATGCACTCCTCTAGAGTTTCTCTTTTCCTATCGGACACTGCCTACAAAAAATACTCTTTAGTTTCACAGATCCCGCCAAACACCCCACCCATTTCTGTGGATACATTATACTATCGACAAGAAAAACAGGACTTGTCTATCTCAACTGTCACTCCACTCCTTTCCCTCCAATAATGTTATGTCGAATACAGAAAATATTCAAATTGTAATTGATAGAATTCTTCTTTTATAATATTTCTATTTGATATCTATGTTTTTACAATTTATTAAATTATCATTAATTCAACAATATTCAATAATCGATCTCATGTGTTAAATCACGGATGATCGATAGATACAACAGCTCTCCACAGCTTAATTTAGCACATAATCAGAAAGATAAGCTGGAGGATGATGACGTCTCTGTGATCTGCACAGAGGCTGGAAGTCTGTCATTATTGGTCCAGGAGCAGAAGTGGTGTCACTGTCCGATCTATCATTCTCCGTCACATCTGCATTATATGGTTGTGTCATCGGGTCAGGAACCCCACAGGTATAGCTTTCCTGCTGGGGTTGCAGGCGTTGGAAAGCCAAAGAATGTAACTGTTTTGGAGGTATCACTCTTATCAGCCGTAGGTGCACTATTTGGTTGCTCAGGAATGTGCATCTGATGCAATTGGTCTATATGGCGCTTAAGTGTGTAGCCATCTCCATCTAAACTGATTAAGTAGTGCCAAAGGTACCTGCCAAATTTCTTAACTATCATGCCAAACCTCCAAGAAGGCTTATTGTTCGCATACCATCTTGCTTGCATCCTGTCTCCTACCTGCAGCTGTCGAACCTTTTTGTCTTCTGTTGTTTGTAAAATCATTATGTGGCTTAAGCGCCTTTTAATTTTATGTTTATTTTTCTATTTATGTATAGTTCTGATGGTGACATACCTCAGGCTAAGGGTGTTGATCGGTAACGCAGAAGAATCTCCTGGACTTGAGTATGTAGAGGCATCTTAAGTTTCGACATTGCCTTCAATTTATTTTTTAGTGTTTGGACATTTCTTTCTGCCAAACCGTTCGTTGCTGGATGTCCAGGATCTATAAATTTTTGTTTAATTCCAGCCTTGTCACAAAATCTGGTAAAGACCTTGCTTTTGAAAATAATCGCATTATCGGAGACTAAGATTCGTGGAAACCCATGATTATAAAATATAGTTTTAGTTTTCTGAAATTATTATTTATGATGCTTTCGCCACTCTCTTTCACCTTCTACTACTTTCTATATTAAATAATGTTTTTTTCTAAAATTCTCAGCTTTCCAACGATATATTATACATATACCTTCTGACTAGTAATTCCAGTGGTTCATTTTTGACCTGGATAAGCATTTTTATTTTTTTCTCCTTTATTCAATTATCAAATTCTTTCAAATGTTATATTTTTCGTAACTTTTAATAATGTGAGATGATTATTTATTTAAAATAAACCATATTAAACATACTTTAGAGGAAGATATATGTGAACATTGGGCATTTAAACCCTGTAAAGTGACATCAATGGAAATAAGACCTAAATTATATTAAAGACCACTTCATTATACCATGATACACCGAGTTTAATAAAAATTATTAAGGCGTTTTTGGGAAAATTTTAAAAATGTGTTTCACCAGTAATATAAAGTGGCACTTCCGGTTAGCTGATTTAAAGGAAAAAGGTGCTGTGACATCTTCAGCATATACCTATCTTAAATAGGTAATATCTATATACCTATCTTAAATAGGTAATATCTATATACCTATCTTAAATAGGTAATATCTATATACCTATCTTAAATAGGTAATATCTATATACCTATCTTAAATAGGCAATATCTGTTTTGTATGATTTTTCGTTTTTGAGCTAGACTGTTCACATACACACAGACCATTTTGCAAGACTTGGTTTTTTGGACTGAGGGGATCTGAAAACGTGTATTTCCGTTGAAAACTCAGATTAAAAAATTTTCACGATCGCAATACTTACCCTTATTATATATTATATATTTTACACAAGCTGAAAAAAAAATTTGGTCAAAATTTGCTTCCAGGTCAAGTGTATAGGTCTGGTGGCTATAACCTTAAGGGAGATTACGAAAAAGGAAACATTTTGTATGAAAATTGTTTGAAGCTATATGCATTTGATTAGGTCTTTCATAGTATTCAGTTCTAAATTAAAATTTGATAGTGTTTTATTTATGTTGAGTGTATTGATAATATTTACATTACTGTTATGGCTTGTATAATGCAGCATGCACAGAAGTACAAAAAAAATATTTTTCTATAAATAAAACTTTTTCTTTAATATTTAATTCCTTAAAAAATTACTTAGCAATAGTTTTTCTTTTTTATTTTAGGACCCTATATATGTTCTGGAAAATAACATTCCGATAGATACCAAATATTATTTAGAGAACCAATTATCAAAACCATTAACTAGGATATTTTCTCCACTTCTTGGAGATAAAGCAGATTCTACTCTTCTTCGTAAGTGGATTAAGATAATATTGATTATTGCAATTTTTTAATATCTAATGATAATTTATTTTCATTTTTCCTTTATAAAATAATTATTGAATTTTTTTTAGATGGTGAGCATACAAGAACTAAATCTATTATAACTTCAAAAGTAGGGGCCCTTGCTGCATTCACTAAGAAAAAAGAAGTATGCCTTGGTTGCAAAACTGTATTGCCAGAGTCGGAACAGAAAAATCCACTATGTCATCATTGCACTCCAAAATACTCTACAATCTTGATTTCTGAATTCAACAAGTAAGCTGTAAATCAAACTTATATCAAATTAGGATTAGTATTATCTATACTGTAACCGCAAATTAAAGACTGCCACTCCTTACAGCTCAGCCGTCAGTTATAAGTTAGTTACTGACCAATGTATATACTATGGTTGTATCTTATGCAATGTATTAGATATTTATTCTAAGTTCTTTATATTTAGTTAATTCATTGAGACCATATCCAGTTAACATATTGTACTTGCCTGAATAAAGGTAATGGTTTCCTCAAAAATTTTCTCCTTTAAAAATGAGTGTTCGACCTGTATTCGAAATCAACTAATGTTAATGTTCAAATTCGATTTAGGGAAATTTGAATTTGACCCAAACTCGGGACACTTAGGTCATCTTATAGTTTATTTTTGTTTCTACTTTTATGATTGGATAGTTGATAAATTTTATATTAATATAAGTGATAACTTTCAGTTATTATCATACATTTTTATAAAAAAAATCTATTTAAAACAAGATCAGGTATGGTTATGTTTCTTATTGTGGTAAACAACTGAAATGTTTTACTTAGCAAAATAAAATCTTAAATTTTCATAAAAAGTACTCCCTGACAACATAATTGTGGAGCTTTACATCAAGGAAATCTGAAAAGTACCAAAAACTTGATGTGAAATCTTAAATGTGACAATATTTTTATAAAAAGTTCTCCCGAAAACATAATAGTGAATCCTTAAAGTTAAAACAACTTTATGCGCAATTGCATAGTCTTTAATGTTTCAAAAAAGTTATTCGTGTGAAATTTTTATTTTAAATAACGAATAATAGATAATTTAGGTTATTTGTAAATAACGAATAACAGATATATCATCTTTTCAAAGGTCATCAAATAAGGAATAAAAATTAATCCATTATTCGTTATCTAGATAAAAATTTATTCCAATAATTCCAACACTGATATCTGATATTATATAGGTAGATAGACCCTGTATATATATTAAAAGTTATATTTATTCTTTCTGTGACTTTCACTGTTCTATCATCTGATATTAATAAATTTATATTGAATGTTATCGTTAATAAATTAATTATTCTAACTACCCATAGCAGCTTCTTAGGCAGTGAACTCTCTCATTAATACATCTCTTATTAATATATGCCCATTCCTTGGATTCACATTTATATGATTAAAGAATTCAAACTGTTCCTCAGATTATGGTTATGCCTTATGGTTTCAGTTTTACTCATTTTACAAAAAAAAATGAAATTATTGTTATGTTATAATTTCTATTTTGTTGTTTTCATTCATATCGTCATTTTGCTATTATACTGGTGGTTTATTGATAAATATGTTTATTAGATCCATGTTGTTAATTTATTTTATCTTATTTTAAATGTTAAATGATGGTGTTCCAGATAATTCGTAATGTCAAAGGACCAAAGGTTTAATATGAGTAATCGATATTTTCTATTGGAATTACAAATTATTGATTGTTAAATTCAGATTAACGAGATTATCAGTTTTTATTAAAATTCCATGTTTATACAATACAAAACACATTTGTTTAATGAAAATAATAAACATAAACTAAAGTATGCCCTTTATCTTTGAAAAAATAAACATCAAAAACCATTTCATTTTGCTGTTTGAAGATAACTTCTATGTGTTTATTTGCGTATTGTGTTTATTATCTATGTGATAGTGGTTATTTGCTACTTTTGGTCTCATCAACTTTTTTTTACCCATCAGCAACTGCTTTTATTATTCTCTTTTTTTCTCAAACCGAAAAAACTCATGCATACGAGGGTGGTGAAAAGTTTCCAACCACAACGTGAAGAGGGCAGCACTCGTAAATAAAAGCAAGCGAATTTTGTTTTTCATCTGTTACCAATTACCCATCAAAGTTTCAGCCATTTTGGACACCCAGTTTTTATGTAACAGTCGTTTGAGTGAGTTGATGTGAGTCATTTGAGTGAGATGTGTTTTTATGAAAATGGACAAAATAGAGTATCGAGCTGTCATTAAATATTTGTTTTTGAAAGGCAATACGCCTACGCAAATCAAAAATAAGTTGGATTCTGTGTATGGGGGCTCAGCACCATCATTTACCACAGTGAAATTTTGGGCAGCTGAATTTAAACGACGCTGTAAGAGCTTGGGAGACGATGAACGTTCGAGACGTCCAAACACTGCAACTACCCATGAAAACATCGCCAAAGTTCACCAAATATGGTGCTAGACTGCCGATTTAAAGTGAGAGAGATAGCAGAGGTTATGAACATGTCAAAAGAACGTGTTTGTTACATATTAAATCAACATTTAGATATGAGACAGCTGTCAGCACGTTAGGTGCCGCGTTTGCTCACGTTACACCAAAAATGTGTTCGAATGAACATTTCCAACGCTCTGTTGGTACAGATTAATTACTGTAGATGAAACTTGGATTACACCATTATACACCCGAACAAAAATATAATCTAAACAGTGAACTGCAAAGGGGGAACCAGCTCCAAAAAATGTAAAAACTGTTAGTGATGGCGACTGTTTTTTGGGATAGACATGGAGTTTTTTTAATCAACTATCTTCAAAAAGAAAAACCATTACAGGAGCATACCACGCATCATTACTTGACAAGCTGAAGGCAGAACTTGCTGAAAAACTGCCACATTTGTATAAAAAGAAAATCCTGTTTCACCAAGACAACACACCGTCTCACACCTCAGCTGTTACCATGGCGAATATTCACGAATTACGGTTTGAACTGCTTGACCATCCGCCTTACCAGATCTAGCCCTAAGCGACTTCTTTTTGTTCCCTTATGGAAAAATTGTGCTCGGAGGACAGAGATTTTCATCAAATGATGAGGCAATCACCTTCATGAACAATTATTTAGCAGAGAAAAACGCCGAGTACTTTTTGGACAGGTTACAGAGATGGAAGTATCACTGGGAGAAGTGTGTAGAGTTACAAGGAGAATAATAGTGATATGTTAAAAAATAAAATAAAAAATGTTGTATTTTTGTTAGGTCGGAAACTTTACTGACGCCCCTATGTTGTGTACCCATGGTAGTTCCTTACTAATCTGAAAGAAAATAAAAGAAATCCTATGTAAACAAACATGGTTCAGAGAATGGATAAGTGGAGAAATTGTTTTCTAAATAAATAGCATTTTTAACAGCAACTTGTGAATTTTAAGACACTTAATTGGCCTCGAGAATGAAAATCATTACAAAATAACTAGGGAATCAAAATGCATAGTATTATTATGATTAACTGTAATTTTTTCAAGGTACCAGAAATTTATTTCAAATTAGTGGGATTAACGAATTAATGGAATATGAATTATTGAGATTGTACTGAAAATTGAAGAGGTAGAGAATAACTTTAACAACTAAAGGGCAAGCTCTATTTCATTTTATATAGATTTTTGGGGAAAAGATTAAGTGTATTTTTCTTACTTAATTAATTCTATTCAGTATTTTCTCCTATCAGCTAGAAAATCTCAAAAATGCTAGGTCAGGGAGAGTCTACAATATCAATTTTTAGGATGAAACTTATTCTATAAATTATGTTAGCGAATTTGAATGAAAGTTTCTAACTTCATTGATACTGGGCTATTTTGTGGTAGGTGACAGGGGCAGTCACCCTGAGCATTAAAATTAAAATGAGCTCCACAAATCAGGGACAAAAATAGAAAATAAATATGATATTCATGAAAATAGTGATATTTCTACCCAAATTCCACTTTCTCATTCATTTTCATCTATGTTTAGACTTTCCATTATGACAAGTTTTCAGGTAGAAATTATTTCCAATCTAAGTTGAAGTGGAGGACAGCACAAATGGGGAACAAAAATTTAAAATAAATATAATCCTAAAAATGGTAGTTTCTGCATTGCACTTCCTTATCCATTATTTTTGGCCAATATGAGTATAAGAGATGACACTCAGTAAAATTTCAATCTAGGTCTCTACATACAACCCATGCCACTGCCACCCACTCCTGTGAAGTTGGCCCTCCTAAAAGTTCTAGAGTTCCCTATACTTTTTAGAAATAGTTCTATTGTTTAAACCACCAAAAATACCACGCTAAGTTACGAAAAACTAATATTCAGTTTTGTGCAACTTATGAGTCTTATAGCTCTTTCAATAATAATTTTAGAGCTAAAGTTCATTAGAATAATTGTTAAGATTCCTTGGGGGCTATCAAAACTCTATTAAAAAAGAAGGATTGATTTCTCCAAAGAGCCCCACCCAAAAAGTGGTCCCTCCCAAAGTAAAATTTTCTTAATTATTTTTGGGGTTTTGATAGCTGTTCTAGAGTTCTCTAATATTGTAAAAAATAATTCTATTGTTTAAACTGCCGAAAATACCACTCAAAATTATGAAAAACTAAAATTACATATCGTGGAACTTTAGGGGGTCCATAGGAAAACTCAATAGAAATCTTCAAATACAAAAAAAATTTTTGACCAATATTGTGATCGAATGCTTTTCAAGTCCGAAGGGATAAAAATTAATCTCAGAAAAAAATTATTCTGATTGGTGTTTTAATAGCTCCCCAACGAGTACAACAGATAATTATTTGTGTGTTTTAATCTAGGATGTGAAATAAAGTTTTCGAGCATCAAAAATATTTTGTTTCAACTTGTGAAGCTTACATCTTTGTTTTTGGTCAATTTTAGGGCAATGGTTCATCCTATTAATTTTTAGAACTCTTAGGGGGCTATAGGAAAACCCAATAGAACTCTTGAAATAAAAAAAAAAAATTTTCGGCCAAAATTGTGATGGAGGGCTCCAAAGGATTAGAGGGAGAAGAATTAGCCCTCTCCCCCTAGGAGTTTTAATGAACTTTAGTTCACAAATTAATATTAAAAGAGTTATAAAACTCGTAAGTCACACAAATGGGATTTCAGTTTTTCGTAACTTGTGTTGTATTTTCAGTAGTTTAAACAATAGTATTTTTTTTTTTTAATATCAGAGAACTCTGGAACTATTTGGGGGGCTATTATAACTAGTTATTTTCACTTTGGGAGGGGCCTTTATTTAATTTTTGTTTTAGAGTTTTGATAGCACCCCAAAGAGTTTTAACAATTATCCCTATGATGTTTAGCTCTAAAATTAATATTAAAGGAGTTATAAACCTCGTAAGTTCCAAAAGACGGGATTTCAGTTTTTCATAACTTTTTGTGGTATTTTCGGTAGTTTAAACAATAGAAAATATTTTTGAATACCAGAGAACTCTGGAACTATGGGGTTACTAAAATTTTCACTTGGGTGAGCCGCTTTTTAGGGGGACCTTTATTTAATTTTTTTTTATAGAGTTTTGATAGTCCCCCAAGGAGTTTTAACAATTATCCTAATGAAGTTTAGCTCTAAAATTAATATTAAAAGAGTTATAAGAGACTCATAATTTGCACAAAATGGGAATTCCGTTTTTCGTAACTTTGCGTGGTATTTTCAGTGATTTAAACAATAGAACTATTTCTAAAAAGTATAGAGAACTCTAGAACTATTAAGGGGGCTATCACAACTCTCAAAATTAAAAAAAAAAATTGAGGATGGGTGTCACTTTACAGGATTGCCACATCTCTGCTTTGAGATAAAATTATGGATACATTTTTACCATCAATTTATATAAAATACAAACAGCCTCAATTTTATAATGGTATGTAGATAGTTGACAGTAGATTCTAATTTCTGAAGAAGTTAGTCGAGGGTGCTGTCCAAAAATACTATATTATGCAATATAGTATTTTTTTACCACACCCTTGACTAACTTCTTCTGAAAGCCTCAATTTTAATTTATTAAAATCATTTATTACTGACAATTGTTATATATACCACTATTTTGTATTTTTTCATTTCAGATATAGGGATTTAGAAGAAAAGTTCAACAGGTTATGGACACAGTGTCAAAGGTGTCAAGGAAGCTTACATGAGGAAGTAATTTGTACAAGGTTACTATCATAAACATACCCTATAATATTAATTTTTTTTTTTTATTGAAAAATTTTGACCACACTTCTAATTTCAGCCGGGACTGTCCCATTTTTTATATGAGGAAGAAAGTGCAGATGGATCTAAACACTCAGGATAATACTGTACTTAGGTTTGGTTGTCCTACATGGTAAGAAAAGTTCCTCTGTTTCACACGACAGTCTTCTATTCAACAAGTGTTTATTGAATTTGTATATATATTTTTTTTTATAAATCAATACAATGAGAAGCATTTTAAATATATAAAAATAAATAGTTTGTACATAAAATAAAATTAAAAAATAGCTTATTATTTACATTATGTTTGCAATACAACAGCTGAATGAAGTGGACAGGATATTTGTCGTCAAAACCTTCTTAATTTAGTCAATATAGCCACTTTCTTATTCGGCACATAATAATTGCATTATGTAGTTATCTTCATTTTTTCCCATCCTTTTTTGTTTTTGGCTCTATTAGAGAACCTGTTTTTGTTGTGTCTTTTGGAAGCCTAATTAGAGAATCGAGATGCTTGCTGACAAGTACCATTTGTAAAAGAGGCATTACAGTAATGGATGAGAGATCTGCTAGCACTGCCTGTAACATAAAAAAGGAGTTTATGTATTTATGTTGAGTTCATAATATTCCACATTTAATTAATGTTACTATTGTTTTAATTTTATAATATTAATGACATCATATGATCTTAAACTTTATTATTCGGTCTTATTGAAGTGAATCAATGTCCCAATTATTCAAATGCAATTTGCATTTATAATGAGGTATTCAATTATTTTTGGTCATGTCCCTTAAACAAAATTACATTATAATTTACTAGAGAAGTACCCCGTATCCGCCCAACAGCAGACCAACCCCCATTTTAGATATTATACAACGGTTCATTTAATGGTATAACTCGTTGCTCAAATTTTATAACTTTATTTTACAAGTATTCTGTAATTTAAATTGTATTATTTTTTATCAACGTTAAATAAACTGAACGAAACCATAGTTTGGACAAATTTTTAATTTCTTAAAAAATCTATATTATACATCACACCTTATTCCTATTTAAAGTATTATATAAGTATAATTATTCTTATTGCTGATTTGTAACCATAATATATATTCAACTTGTCCAGCTTCATATAAGCTCAACAATAATTTGAACCTTTTATTTCTAATATTTTCATTGTTTGTTATATTGTGCTTCCTTTTCTAGAGTGTATATAATGTGTCAACATAATATTATAATTAATATATTGTATTCAATGGGAAATGTCCAGATCGAAAAATAACTGCTATCACCTCGGTAAAATCAAACTACCACCTCCAGATGGACCAAAATACCATTTCCCATACGAATTTTTGGTCTAAAATGTTTTTGTTTTTTTTTTGTATTGGAAGAATAGGAAGTTTCAGGAACTCAATATATGTAATTAAATGAAAAGTGGTATGATTTGTAAAATAATCGGCATAGGAGAGTAGCACTATCGAGCTAGCGGACTGGCCTGCTGTTGAGCTCCTATTATCTCCTACTCTCTTAATACTAAAATAAAATTTGATAGTTGCTAAAAATTTCATTATATCATAGATAGATATAATTTTATTTGAAATTTTTAATTTCTAAGCTGTTAAATCTCTTCTCTCCTTCAAAATGGTGTTGAACCAATAATAGAAATAACAGAAAAAAAATTAGAGATATTGTGGAATTGTGTGTTTCTTATCAGGGTTGGTCTTAAAATATGTTTGTATATTGCACTTCCTTTGTTTACATTATTTATATTTCATTTTTAAATAAATTAAAAAGAGATTAAATCTGAGAAGAGACTTTTAATAGTTAAAACAGTTGAAAACAAATTATTATCGGTAAATTAGTAATGTAATAATAGGGTGTAATAATAATAATAATAATAATAAAAGGCTTAGCGAACCCGAAGGTTCGATCCCGACACCACCAATCGCTTATTACACAACTCCCTCCACCGTTCGCCGTCCAAACCCAGTTCCTTCAGATCAGCTTTAATGCAATCTTCCCACCTTCGCTTCGGTCTACCCCTCGGACGCTTACCATTCGGCACAGCAAATATTAACCTTTTAGGAATTCTCTCGTTACTAAGTCCAACTACTTTACAAGCCCATTTGATTCGCCGCGATGAAATTACCTCAATTATATTACCCGGATACAGCTCACGCAATTCGGCGTTGTGTAACCGTCTGAACTCTCCGGTTAACTCATCCTTCTTCGGTCCGAATATTCTACGCAATACTTTATTTTCAAAAACCTTAAGACGCTGCTCATCCCTTAATGTAAGCGGCCAAGTTTCGCATCCATAAAGAACTGTAGGCAAGATAATTGTTTTATAGATTCTAATTTTTAAGTTTCGGGACAAGAGGCGTGAACTTAGTAGTTTTGTCACAGAAAAATAACAAGCATTTCCCGCCTTCAGTCTAACCTTAATCTCCTCTTCAATTTCGTTCTTTCTAGTTATCGTAGAACCTAAATACCTAAATTTATCTACCTGTTCAAACATATTACCATCTATATCGATATCACCAGTAGTATCGCCATTTTTGCAGCTAACCATATATTTTGTTTTATCCACGTTTATTTCGAGTCCTAGTTCTTTACCGGCTTTCATTAACGTTGTCGTATTTAGTTTTATAGTTTCAATGTCTTCGCTTAACAGTACCAGATCATCAGCATAGCCCAGCACGGATGTTGTCCCGCCCAGATCCAACCCTTTCTCGGTTCGCATTCCTTCCCTAATGGCATGTTCTAATGCCAAATTGAACAGGACAGGTGAAAGAGAATCCCCCTGTTTTAAGCCCGAACGGACCTCAAATTTTTCGGACAAATTATTACTGATTCTAACTTTATTGAGTGTCTCCGTCAAGCACATCCTGACTAGATTTATTAGTTTTTTTGGAATCCCCTGCTCAATTAGAATATTATACAGTTTCTGGCGGTCAATAGAATCGTAAGCCTTTTTAAAATCTATATACAGCTGGTGAACAATACCGTTATACTCCAACTTTTTTTCTAATATTTGCCGTAAAGAAAATATTTGATCAATAGTCGAACGATTCCGTCTAAATCCGCATTGGTATTCTCCGATAATTTCCTCGGCGTATTCCGTGATTCGACTGGTTAAGATTAAAGTGAATATTTTATAACATACCGGAAGGAGTGAAATTCCTCGATAGTTATTACAATCCGTCCTCGGACCCTTTTTGTGAATCGGAATAAGAATAGATTCTTTCCATTCTTCAGGTAATTTCTCGTTCACCCAGATCTTTTTAACCAACCGATGTATTTTAGAAACTCCAGCTTCCCCGCATGCCTTAATTAGTTCAGTAGGAATATTATCGGTTCCCGCTGCTTTATATGATTTTAATTTTCCGATAGCTACTTCAACTTCCTCTTTACTTGGTCCTTCTATTAACAGTTGAGCACTCTGGTACTCAGAAGGAGGACACAGATCATAATTTTCCGTATTTAAAATATTGTCAAAGTGGTCCTTAAACTTATTCAATATGTCAACCGGATCAGTCAGAATATTGTTATTATCATCCCTAATTCCAGACGTTACGGGCCCTACATATTTACGTGATCTGTTTATACCTTTGTACATGTCTCTTACTTTATTTTCGATTCTATTAGTTTCTATTTCAATTATTTTATTTTTAAGATACTCCCTTTTTTTATTTTTGAGCAATTTTGTAGTTTCGTTCTTTGAGATTCGGAAGTATTCCAGATTGTCTTCGCTAGGATTATTTAGAGCTTTTAATTTAGCGGCTTTTCTTTTTTCGCACATGTTTAAGCAATCTTCATCAAACCACGGTTTGTTATTCTTATTTTCCTTTTTTCCTAGACACGAGTTACCGACCGCTTTAATATTATCCCTGATCTCTACCCATAACTTGTCAATATCCTCGTGGTCCTCGTCAGGAAGCTCTAAAGCTTCAAACCTATTCTTAACATCTAGCTCGAATTGGGTTCTAATGGATGGATTTTTTAATTTTTTCAAATTAAAATTCTCAAAATCGAACCGGTTTTCTTTTCTCTTTTTTATATTAAGTTTTTGTCGAAGTTTCGCGATTACCAATTCATGATCCGACCCACATTCTGCTCCACGATAAGACCGTACATTGATTATACTGCTTTGCCAGCTGTGTTGTATCAAGACATGATCGATTTGATTTCGTGTTTGCGAATCCGGTGATGTCCAAGTATATTTATGAATATCCTTATGTTTAAACGTCGTACTTTTAATTATCAGGTTTTTCGAGATGGCAAAGTTTATCAGACGGATCCCATTATCATTACTATATTCGTGCAAACTTTCTTTACCAATCGTCGGAATATAAACTTCTTCCCTTCCTACCTTTGCGTTCGCGTCACCTACAATCATTTTCATGTAGTTTCGCGGTAGTTTATCATAAACCCATTCGAGTTTATCGTAAAATTCACTTTTGACTTCACCGTCACTGTCTTCGGTCGGACAATGTATGTTTATTAATGCGATTTTAAACCAACGTCCCTGAAATATAGCTACCGAAATTCTATCACTAAAGAATTGTACGTCCCTCAAAGCGGATAGTAATCTACTCCTAATTAGAAACCCGGTACCTAAACAATGATTCCCGCTTCCTCCGTACCAAATAGTGTACTTTCCTTCCCTCATCGAGCCCTCCCCTGGCCAGCAAACCTCTTGCAGAGCCACGACATCCAAATTGTACCCATTTACCTCATTCGCGACCGATTTTAGCCCCCCTGCTGTGTTTAAACTCCTTACGTTCCACGTACCAATATTTAAATCCTTATATTTCAACTTGCGCCATGAATCCCCTAAAGCAGTCCCCACCCGGAGACCCGAACGGGGGACTAGTTTACCTCCGGATAATGAGCGTTTTACCTTAGGGAGATCCATGACTTTTTGTGGTGTTTGGTGAACTAAAGATATGTGAGCAGGGCGTTCAATCCTACGTCACACCCTCCAGCAAGTCTGGTGGGCCCCTACCTCCAGCAAGTCTGGAGGTCCCCTCCCTCCAGCAAGTCTGGAGGGCCCCTCTCATTGTTGGTCAGCGAGTCCATCGGACTTAGAAGGGAGGACCTTCCAAGGAATTTCCACCGACCATTCCCACATCCGCCACCCGTGGGACGCTCCCCATACGCGGTAATAGGGTGTATAAAAAAAAAAGGTTTTATCAAATTCAAGATTTCAAAGGACTAAATATTTTAATCCTATTTAATACTTAATAATCCCTTTATAGCATTCTCTAACCTTGTTTAATCCCATTCGACTTCTTATAAAAAAGCCTCAGTTTAGTTATTTGTTTCATAGTAGAAACATGACAGTATCCTACAAAATTCTCATAATTTAAGGCATTACTGGAAAAAAAAATTCACAGCTGCTGAAGCAACTCTTGAAATTATTAAATACAGATACGGAAGGTGTCCTTGACCTGCACACTACACGGTATTGGTATAAAAAATTTATCAGTGGAGATACAGATGTTGTTAAGGAAGAAGGGCTACAGCCGACCATTTATGGATATTGATGAGGTTCTGCAGGAAGCTGTCGAGTCAAATCTGTTCACCAACAAGTCGTGAACTTGACATGGATTGTGTTGTGTATAAAGATTCTGTTAGTCGCCATCTTCTCTCCATGGGGAAGGTGAAAAAGAGCAATAGACTGGTCCCTCACGAACTTACTCCTCAGCAATCAGCAAGAGGTTAGAAATTTATGAAAATTTATTGAAAAATCCTTCTGATATGAGACTCCTGCCTCATCAACCTTATAATCCAGATCTCGCACCATCTGATTACTACTTATTTAAATCCATAGTCCATTTTCTTTAAGGGACAAAATTTGTTGAAAATACAAATATTTGGTTGAAAAATCATTCTTTTTTTATACACTCTATTAGTATAACAATCACTTGAACTATTTTTACCTTCTTATAATATCACACTTTTTTGTACATTTTTATTGAATATCCTCTTCCCCAAAAGTCCTTTTTGCTTAAATTTTATTCATTACTTTTGTTTGATTTCAATATAACGACCAGTGATGTTATTGAGTCAAAGGTGGATGATTATAGCGACTGTAGTCCTTTATAACGACTAAGTTTATTCCTTCAATATCATTATAAACAATATCCATTTTATATTTATTTAAAATTAAATAAAAAAATATTTACGTACTAAAAAAATTCCCCGACTTTTTCCAGGTAGGTTGCCACCCTATATCTTTAAGTTTATTTAAAATTTCTGCAAAATAATAATTCCATGGTTCTAGTCCAAACCGAAGAGGGAAGTGATTTTCTAAATTTGTTTCATTTATATGTAGATGAGGAAGGATCTTTGTTGCTATGCAATAATAAAGTAACCTATAAACACTATTTTAATGCTATGATTTTATTAGACTGAATATTTATTGTGGTTTTACTTCTAAACAATTAGAGATACAAGGAGAGAAAATAAATAAACCAGCATGCTTTCTGTTATCTTTTCTCAAATGGCTATTAGTACATGTGATCAACTATACAGTGCAAAGGATTTCATAGGGCTTCTAAAAGGTAGCTGCAGATTGTTGGACGTCTCTGGATAGAGATACATCTATGACATCTCAATCTGCTGATTGGGCTCCAAAAGACTAGTCAATCAGCTGGTCTCTGAAAGCAGCCAAGACTTGTGCTCTAATAACTTCCAGTGTAGCTACAGACAGAGTGAGGATATCCTGTGCAAAACTCTTATCTTGTGCTGAATTCTGAATTAGATCCATTGCCCTTCCTCTCTACATCTAAAGAAATTTATCAGTGGCACAACAAGGTCATAACCAATATTTCTTTCATCTCTTACTGAACTTGTTTTCTATTTACCAAGAGTTATAAAAATTGAACCTTTACTGAATAAGGCATAAATCATAAAAAAATATTGATGATTAATTAATGTGTGAACAATCACAAGTGAAACAATATTTTAAGAGGTTCAATTGCAAATTATATATATATATATATTTTTTTTTAATTCCTCATTGGATGGGGAGGAAGGCAGCTCTCTATCTTGTCTCCTTCAGCTATACCCCTATCCATGGTCAAAGTTATTTAAACTTCTGATGATGATATATCTTCAGTTACTATGAGTATTTTAAGACCACTTAAAGTTGTTAGTCTGTCCATCTGCAAATTTTCATTTTTGTCTCTAATAAGATCATTTAAACCATTAAGAACTCTAATATCAATAGCTGTCTTGTTTTCTTCCTTGAATACTGTCTCAGATACTGTGACTATCTATTCCTATAATATTTGAGTTCCCAAACACCTATTCATGATTAGGACAATTCTATTTATTTTTTTTTTTACAGCTTGTTTGGTACCGTAAAGAATGTGTGAAAAGTTCCATAAATATTGGCTTACATTAAATAGCGACTATCATCTCGTTGATGATAACTAAGGTCAACTATTTTGACATAATATAATTTTAATTGAAGTAGGTATATTGTATATATTTTTTTTCTTAATGAATCTTTAAATTCAATAACATATGATATTTAATCATTACTCAAATAAGTATATAATTAAGAAAATAAACATTACCTACCTCAAAACCTGCTAAATCTTTGACTCTGATTAATGACACTTTCCTTAAACCAACTATGGTGACTGCCATAATGGGTAATATTTCAAGAGAATCATATGCCAAGATAAGATCCCAAAGATATAATACTTGTTCCGGAGACAAATGCCCACTGAATGCTCTCATTATCCATTTGAAGGTCAGGCGAATGCTGAAACAAACATATTTGTAATACTACAGCTGTTTTCTGATCACTTACTGAAAATATTAGTAATTTTTTTAGCTTACGGTTGCACACCACTTGTTTTTATGTGGCACCACAATTCATTATCTAATCTATGTAATAGCCTTTCAAAAAGAATACAAAGTGAAAGTATGCCCTGTGGGTGAGAAGAAACTTCATGTAGGCGAAACCAGTATCTTGTGTAAAAAGCTCGGAATACATAATAAAGTTGAACAGGATCATCATAAAGGTAGCAAAATGGTGTTGCTAAAAGAAATACAGAAGGATATTTATTCATAAATAATATATAAATTCTCTTTTCATATTGTACTTGTGACTTGTTAATAGAAATATATAAAAAAAGTAAATTTATCAAAATTTAAGAATACCAATGAGGTGGTTACCCCAAGCACATCTAGTTTTCCTTCCTGACGATCTAATGAAAAAAATATTGTAAATTTTTAACTATTTATTTTAATTCAAACTTAAATATTGATATAAGATATCAGATTATTATAATAGTATGTAAATGTAAGAAGTACAGCAAAAAAAACTGCTTATAAGGCCAGAAAAACCTACAAAAACATATGCTAAGTAAGTATATATATTAGAGTGGCCTCATATCAAAGACGGACATCTGTCATTTGGAAAAAGTGAACTTGTTTTTTAGGTTCAACTCAAAACTGTTTGCGATGATTTACTTTAAGAATGTTCAAGGTGAATCATTAAAATTTGTTTTGATTGAATAGATTGACCTCAGGAGAGGAGACTCTCCTGGAGCACACACACACAGTCTCTATAAAGTCAATATTCATAATTGGAGAAAGATCTGGTGGCTAAGAGTGATTCTGACAAAGCAACTCCTTAAATCAAAGACCCTTCATTGATTGTAGTAGTACAGATTAATTTTGTAATTATATAAACTTTTAATTAGAGCTTACGAATAATAATTTGTTTTAATCAGATGGCAACATCGATAGGTCAGTGCCAAAAATAGTATACCTATAAGATTTTCAAAACTTTTTTTAAACAATTTTTAAATAATTTATTGATGTATATGATACAACATAAAATTCAAATATAACTAATGTAAGGACAATCCCATAACATAAAGTAAGATATAACATCATATTATTAGATAAAAATGCAATTTTCTGTTTGCAACTGCTAACCATGCAAACTACTGGATGGATTTATGCTTGGTTTTCCCCTAATAGTCTGTGTTGTACTGTGAAGTTTTGAACACTGAAATTGTTGATCTGACAAGGAGAAAGTTGAAAATACTTTCATTGTGTTTAGAGTTTTATAAGTATACATAATAGTGTTTAATCCTAACTTTAGACTATTGTTGGAATAGAAGTGAGATCTTGATAAAAATGGTTAAATATTAGCGATAAAACAGAAAATATAGCAGAATCAGGAACAGCTTGACAAAATAAGAGATTGTTTAGGATTATTTTATTTATTACTCCCTTCCTTGCCTTTCGGCTACATGGGATTTTGCAGGGATGGCATATCACAACATGTATATCATTCCTGCTATTAAATGGCAAGTACTTTAACGATTACGTTTTATTTTCAAGACTCTTCGTTTTCCAACATTTTCTTCTCACCATATCAGTTTGGCGGCCTTCCATTAGCAGTTTCTCTTCTTCCCAGATTAAAGTGTGAGGGCCCCAGAACAGTTTTCCACCCGTACACAAAATCTTCGTAATACAGGTAGTTCTGCTTCATCACTAACTGGGGAAATTCATCCTCCGTGAGGCCATAAACTCCAATTTTTCCATCATTCCGGCCCGTAGTCCATCAAAGGACTATTTATAAACTTGTTTGTAACCTCCAACAATAACTGCAAACAATACTGATCCAATTTAACTAATTATAACACTCAAATGATTCAGGGTCCCTGGAAAGTTTATCCATAGTAAAACCTATGGACTTTTCGTTATCATGAATAATAACTCATCTAATCTATATAGATTTGGTATAAATATCTTTTACTGTCACTATAAAGAGGAGTGTTGTAAGTCATAATTGAGAGAAGACTGTTTTTTTCCACAAGCTATGTAATGTTGCCTGTTTAGAACAGCACGTAAAGAAAACCAATATTAATGAACCATGACCAGTTGCTATAGAGTGGAGGAATAGGAAAGACCTTTTATCGGTATCACCATGTTAAAGTAATGAATATAATCCTGTTTAACGTCGCACATTCGTTACTTTAACACGGTGCCAATGATATAACTGGCCAAAATACACTTTCATCACAAGAATAAATAAATATTGTTCATTTATATGGAAGTACTTTCAGTTTTGTTAAAATAGTTTAGAATATACCATATTAATAATAAAATTTAGTATGAAGCCGGCAGGAGGGTGGCCGAGTGGGCTGTACAGACATTTATGTTGCCCTGACATAAGATAATTTAGATAAAATAATTATGAGTTCATGTCCTGGTGCCAGAGAAGGTTTTTAATTTTGATCCCCTGACCTGGAAAACTCTGCAAAGCCTAAAAGGAGAGTAAGGAGATAACAGAAAAAAGTTAGTATGAAGCCATTAGACTGACGGCACTTTTTATTAAATTTTTTTTTAACTGATTGTTGCTTTTGTTTATTCTAAATAAATGAATTTGAGATATTCAGTCAAGCATTGGATCATGTACTTATAAATCCTATGAAAAAGGCATCTTAGGTATCTTGTATGCAAGAGTAGCCAATAAAACTAGTGTTTTGCCAATCATTTGTGTTTTAAATATAGTATTTTCTAAGTAAAAATGTTAATATCCAGAATTTTACTACCAATCAATATTAAAATGTTATACAGCATCAAAAATTCATTTATAAAAATATAATCAAATCACGATCATCCAAAGGATTGCCACAGATATCTGAAATCTGTAAGTTAATATGTGATTTGTTTTTCTTTTCTTTTTTTTATTATTGAATATTAATATATTCTTAAAGGGGTACATTAAGGCTTAATATTAATCATTCACACAATATGTATATAATAATAATAATAACAACTAAGATATAAATAATAAAGAAAAATAAAATAAGTAACTTAATATGCCTGAGTACAAAAAATGAAATAATAGATAAAAGCTAAATGAAGTTAAAGTAAATAAAATACATTCACACGGGGGACTCGTGATTCATGCATTGTTCCACAATGTGGAAACCAAGGCAGGATTCCAGCCGCATCACTGGTATTAGAAACCAGTAGGAACTGATGGAGGACACTACGGCAACAGACGCTCAGGACCTGAGTAGAGAATCTGGCCATTGCCAGAGCTCCAATATATAATATTTACAGAAGGTCGCGGGGCCACTGCTGGAGCTAGATCGAGATTGTGCTACAGAATTTGGATGATGAGTGAGGTTATGGTGAAATTTGGAAAATCTGTCTGGGATTAGCTCAAGAACAAAATGGATATAAAGGTCATTATGGAGGGTTTTATTGGATACATAGAAGGGAGCAATGACTATTTATTGGAAGGCTTTAGACTGGAAGGATTGAATGTGTTTGATGTTAGAAAGTTTTGCTGTCACCCACAGCCACAGTTCTATTCCATAGGTCCAAAGAGGTTTCAGGATATCCTTATAGATCAGTAGTTTGTTGTTGACTGAAAGTTGAGATTTTCTATTCAATAGTCAATATAGCTGTCTGTATCGTCTTTTAAGTCTGGTATGTGGGTTCCATGTTAGTCTTTTATCTAGAATAAAGCCAAGATACTGATTGTGTCGGACAGAGGAAGTGGTATGGAGTTGAAGTAGACTGGTGGACAGGAACCGCGTGGAAAGGTAAAAGTGATATGTTAGGATTTGGATTCGCCACTTATTACATCAGTTTTCAATAAGAGAGGTGACTGTAGGTTTAAGGATGCTGTTTCAGGATCTGGGTTATCAGCGAATGTTGCCGGGAGGGTTTCAGGATGAGTAGGAATATCAGTGGTAAACAGAATGTAGAGGACGGGACCTAAGACGCTGCCTTGAGGAACTCCTGCCTTTATTGAATGACAATTGGATGATTCTGTACCACAGCGAACTTGAAAGGTAGGATCGGAGAATAAGATATAAGGAATGGAGTAGATGTGATTTAAACTTGAAGAGTAGTCCGGCGTGCCATACTCAGTCAAAAGCTTGCGCGATGTGCAGGAATGCTCCCGAACTATACTCTTTGCTTTCTAGGGCTAAGGATATGTGGTCAACAAGTCAGAGTCCTTGTTCAGGGTGTCCATCGATCTAGAAAACCAGGAATTTCTCAAACCGGGAAATGTAGGGGAATTTTTTTTTGCTCATTTATGCTATAATATTTTTTTCCTATAAAATAAAAAAAGGTCAACTGTTAATAGTATTATATGTTCCTGGCGACGGGAAGAACATTTCTCGAAACATCTAAAAGATACAGTAGTAAACAAAGAATAAAATTCAATAACAAGACGTCCTCCTGTATATAATTCTTTATTTTATCTTGCTATCAGTTTAGCTTCTTCATCATGTAAAAATTAAGGATATAAAAATTAACAACAATAAAAAGCAAAATTTACAAATCAATCTATAAAATATATGAAAACATACCAATTAAATAAAAACTAATAATCACCTAATTTATTACAGTCCTTCTCTCCTGCTTGTATTGATTTTGGGAAGATCTAAATGGTTTTAAAACAAATACATCTAAGTTTATTAAAATAAACATCTAACATTTGCTAACAAATAATTTTTTTTAAATAAATCGATGTAATCTATTTTGAAATCAATCGTCAGAGATATTTACGGGTAAAAAACTAGAAGAACTAAGAAAAAGACGAAAAAAAACGTGAAAATCTGAAAAACCGGGAAATGTACGGGAATTTTTTGGAGGAGAATCGCTGGACACCCTGTTGTTGGACAGTGGTATGTTGGAAGCAAAATTCGAATTGGTGGATAGGAAGATTTTGGGATTCTATATATCCTTTTCAGTAGGATTTTTTCAAAAATTTTTGAAAGGATTGGGAGTAGGCTAATTGGTCTATATGATGATGTATTATTGGAAGGTTTGCCTGGTTTCAGGAAAAGGATGTAGGTGGAATATTTCCATAAGAGAGGAAAATGGGTAGTTCTTAGGATGCAGTTGTATATATATGTGAGGAACATGATCGCTTTGGGTGGTAGTTGATCTGTGGTAGCAAGGATCTGTGGGGTTAGAATGTCGTATCCAAGAGATTTGCTGGAACATAGTTTTTGTTAATGATATTTGACATCAGAAGGAAGAACTGCTTTTGGTGGTAAAGAGAGTGGAATTGGTAAAGAAAGGAATTCTTCTACTTTTGCAGTGTGGGTCGGATTGGATTCGGGATGAGGAGTAAATGTACTGGAAAGGTGTTTGGCAAATTGCTCAGCTTTGTCTTCATCAGATGCTGCCAAGGAGCCATCACCTCAACGAGTAGGTGATGCACAGGCTGCAGTACCGGCATGTGCTCTACCGTCAGGATGGTTAGTATAATATGTTGAGTACTGAGGTTTATATAAAATTTGTTTTATATAAACCTCAGTATATAAAGCATTTGTCAGTCGAGTTTCCGTAATAAGGGCTACATCGACATATTGCGGGAGTAGTTTTCAATTTTTTGTACTCACCAGTCTTGTGTAACTCTCCGCATTTCACGCATCTTGGGATGTGGTGGCAGTATGTTTTGGTGAGGCCATATGCCTCGCAATTGTGCCACTAAACAATTTCTCTTTTAGTGTATGGTTTTACAACCTTGACACTTGTATAATATAATTTGTTGATTTCATATATTTTTTCGACTCCTGCTGAGGGTTCTAAATCAATGAAAAATAGAGGTAATGCTATCTTCTCCTGATTCATTTCTGTTGTCCTTTATTACATTGATGACCTGTCGGACTTTAAATCCTAGGATCGTAAGTTCGTCTTGTATCGCTTCAACTGGTGTAGAGGGGTGTAAGTTAAGTATCACTACCCAAGTGAAGGCTCCAGGCCAACTGACTAGGTTGGGCCAGGTAATTATGGCTGCGAGATAAGAACAAGCCTCTATACACCAGCTTCACTTCACATAACTATACACAATAAACAACAACAATAGTCGCTGTGGCATTAGTACATATTATGGTCCAGGTGTTTAGCTCACATAAAGTCAAATTTTATAAAAAAAATAACACCAATTGCCTAAGGAAAAAGTAAATATGTCTAATAAGAGACGAGGTGACGTTAGTGTATTGTAATCTAGAGCATGCGCAGACCTTGATTTATGTAAAAGAATATTTACGTTTTTGAAAATTTTTGAAAGTCAATTTTTTTTTTAGCAAATAGTTCCTTTTAGTCTATGATCAAAATTTATCCAAAACAGGTTTGTTAGTCATTATCTAAGTCATTGTTTTGTGCAAAATAATAAAGGAGGCAGTTTTCCGTGTCTCAGTGCAGTGGTACTTGACTTATTCGTGGCTCTGGTGGTTTGCTTCACTGACAATTTATTCATTAGTAAAGTGCACAAAGCCCGGGTCACCATCACAGTTCTTACCAATTCAGTTAATGAACCATCTTTTGTTGTTAGTTAATTTTTGTTTAAATCATTCACCACATTTGGAACCAGTTTTCAATGTAACTTCAAGGGATGAATTTATTGATTGCCAAGGAGCTGCAATTTTATTAATGACAAGATTGTAAAATATTTTCAACTAAAATTGTATCTCTTATTTATCTCTTTCCTTAGTAGTTTTTACCTATAAATCTTAAAGAAAATTAATTAACACCGTAAGCTTAACAACCCAGGCTCATAGTTATGTAAGCAATATAAGAACAAAAAATGCAAATAAAAAGTTTAAAACAACTCAATATTTTAAATATATAATACACATGCTATAGTTCACAATAAAGTAGTGATTCAAATTTGCTGCATTTTTTCTAAAAATAAATTTAAAAAAATCAGTATTGCTTTTTCTCTTAATAATCTTACCATACATTGTGAATCCATGGAATGGGATTATCCCATTGGGAGGATATATTACTGTATTTTCTATTGTTGGTGGCTTTCCTCTTAAAACACCATGCACTGGCTGTGCTGAACTGTGGCTGAATATACATAATACTTCTGCATCTCTTGAAAAGCACAGCATAACCTAAAATTCAGTATATTACCTTGCATTGGTCTCTCCTAACAACATAAAACAAAAGTTGCCTAGACTTGTCAGGCCATTAGAAGAAAACTGATCAAGAATCATAGAATATATTTTGTTCATCAATAAATTAAAATGTTTTTTATCCATTCTCTATTAATAAAAGTAAAGCACAAACATATCTAAAATTACATAAATTGGTGGAGCAAGTTTTTTTTGTAAAAAAAAAAAAAAAACTTAAACTTTTTATACTGACAATCAACACACTCTAAATTTGCTTTGTCTGGAAATTGGGTTATGAACCAAGAAACTAGTAAATGAAGTATAAGGTTCATAATTGGTAAATTTAGTATAAGGTTGCTTATACTATTTTTGAAGTGAAAACTTCTTAATGTACACTTGTGCTTTACATTTTTTTTGGGAGGTAGTGAATGAGACTGTGCTGTCACACTCAAATATGTAACACCCATTTGGGTAAAGTCAGCGATCAATTGAAGTATTTTTGCATTCGGATTAAAATATATCAGAAATTTATTTTTACCTGCTACCAAGCTAGAGAGTCGGAAAAATAAAAAGATGGTGTTGAAAACCAAATATTAATAACTATTTTAAACATTTAGAATAAAATTTCTCAAACTTTAAATACCATAGAGAATTCAGAAACCATTTTGCAGAATATAGGTATTTTTTTTAACTAGCCGTAAAAGTAATAATAGAAAAAATTACAGTGTATTTACAATATATACAATTATGATTGTGTATAAATTACTCTAGTAAGCTTCTCTCTGACTGATCATCATTTGTATCATACTCTAAAAATAAAACTATAGGTTTATTACTAAAATATGCAATGAAGACTTTTGATTAAAATCTATTCATAACTCCTCACGATTTTCTCCTAATTCAATGATTCAATAACCATTGGAAATCTGAGTGGTTGTTCTTCAAAATAATATCAAAAACTTTTAGATTTAACGCCTCCATGAGGAATAAATAAATAAAATCTCCTAATGCATATTCATTTTTTATCTCCAATTCTAATATTTACAAGACCCTAAATCCCTGTTTATTTTCGTGTGTATAGGAGGAGCAATGATTAAGTTATCATACTTTTTGTGGCTTCTGAAATATAATCGAAGGTCCTACCCACCCTTGACGAAAATTTGAGAAAAAAAACAAACTATTTTTTGATTTCAGTGAAAATTGGTATTTGAGGATTTGAAATACAAATTTCAACATTGTTTCTCCTTAAAAAAATATTTTAACCAACTTTACTCTAACGGCCACTACAAATTGTTTTATTTCGGAGATAATTCTTATCAATTTCGATGACATTTATACTTTCACTTATCTATATATGTAATATATAAGTGCAAGTATTGCGATCGTGAAAAATTTTGGATCTGAGTTTTCAACAGAAATACACATTTTGAGGTCTCCTGAGTCCAAATAACCAAGTCCCGAAAAATGGTCTGTATGTAAGCAATCTAGCCCAAAAACTAAAAGTCGTACGAAACTGATATTTCGTATTTAAGATAAGTATATATATGCCTTAGATGTGGTTACAATTTTTATCTTAAGGAAAAACAAGTCCACGTATCAGATAAAAATATCCGATATAAATATGAGATGAAAGTATCCGATACGAGTATCAGATAAAAATATCCGATACGAGTACCAGATAAAAATATCTGAAATTAACATTACATATAAAAAAAAAAAATAAGCGTGAATATATATAGTGGTCTTAATGATTTGTTAGCTTTAAGCTACAGCTTCATTAAAAGTGCTCTCCAAAAATTTTATAATTGCTCAATAATGCCAGAAAATAATTTTTATTTTAAGTAGAGAGGTAAGTGAAAGTTGTGGGTTGCGCGCACCAGATTTTTTTATTATGCTATATTATTTTCTTATGATAATCGCAACATAAAATATTCTCCTCAACTTTTCAAAATTACTTTTTTTGTCATTATTTCAAGTGATGTAATACTTTTGGACAGGAGTTTATACACTCTTTTCACTATCCCAAATAGCGAATTCTGAAAAATTCCAAAATTTATAACACTTAAGTCATTTACTATATGTTTTTATGTTTTCTCTTATTAATCAGTATAACTTTTTATTGATGAAAATATTCATGAACTTAAGTAATTAGTTTAAAAATTAATACTAAAAGGAACACTCACTTGATACAGTACATCTTCAAACACAAAATATTGATGGTCATTTGAAGCAGTTAGTTGAACATCCTTTAGAAATCAATAATCAAAAAGAAAACAAACATTTATTATTTTATTTATTCTATTTCAATAATTATATGATATTAATTGTTACCTTTATGATTAATTTGTCAACCATTAAGTCATGCTGTAATACTACATTTTTCAAATATTGGAAATACAGCTTTTCCTACAAATTACAGTGTATGTTATAAAGTGCTATAAAAAAAATTATAAATATTAATATGATTTTGAAAGTATCAAAATATTAAGTAAAGTATAAATAATAATGTTAGGATTGGAACAGTAATAGATTTTCTGTCAAGTAAATCAGTCATTTTTTAACTGTTGGTAGGGTAGGAAATAAATATTGAATAGTTTTAGTATGTTTTACTATACCATAATCAACTGATGTCTTGCAGAAAATTGAGGTAAAGTTTTTCTTAATTTCACTTTTTTAATAATATTACAAGCTTTTTTTTTCCTACGCCTGTTTACTTCGACTTTTTAAGTCATGAATCTTTCTTCAGCAGCTTGGGGCAGTTGTAGGTGACAGTAGTGATCATTTTGTTCTCTCTTCTTCGAGATGTTAGTGGTTTACTAACCAGATGTGATTACACTTCACGTGACATAAAAGCATGAAAACATGAAAGTATTGACCCTCCATGGGTAAGAAGTCAAATGTCATAAAAAGAACTATGAATAACAAAAATAACTGAAGTATTGTATTTAACTTTTTTTTTCTGTTGCCATTACAGACCATGTAAATCTTTTGCCACCTTAACAAGCCTGCTTCATCTCTGCCTGTCTTGGACTATTTCTTTCCAGTTATCTGCACGCAGCTGAGCTTCCAGATGGATTGTAACAAGCTACATGCCCCGCCCATGTGCCTCCATATCATGGGATATTATTTGGCCAGTTTCTGTAAGCATTTCTTTATTGGTATTTCTTTTCTACGTGTTATACTCTGATTCCAAATTGCTCCGGTTATCGTGCAGAGAATTAGGCGATAGTCCATCTAGTTTTTCAACCTCTTTTGGGTCAAGGTCCTCAGTGTGGTCCATGTCTTCTTCGTTCGTGGGTTCCCTTTGACTAAGAAGTTCCTGGAAATGTTTTTTCCAGATGTTCAATATATTTTCTTTAGATTCCATCAGAATGCCATCTTTTCTTTGCATTTGTGTATTTCTCGCTTTGTATCCTACCCTTTCTTTCCTAATGTCTGCGTAGAATTCGTGTATATCTACTGTCTACCAGTCGTCCTCAACGGTTCGCAATCTTTCTTTGAGGAATTCCCATTTTGCCAATCTTATAATTTTTTTTGCCAGCTCTTGCATTTTTATCATTTCTTCCGGAGTAGAATAGTGTATGGCCATCAATAATGATTTCGCCACCATCTGGCCATCTTACCTCTTGATTGGCTGTTAACAATATGTTATACCTTTTTGTTCTTTGACTACAGTTTGGCAGCTTCTGGTCTGCATAAATTACGTACCTTCTAAGATCTAATGAATAGTCCATGATTCAGAAGGCGAGGTCCTTACCAAGTTTAGACAGTCCGATTTGCCGAAGCTTCGTTTTGGTTTCGTAATAAGGAGTTTGTTCCATGATAGGGTTATCAGCACTATGTTGAGTATATTTTTGCAGGCAACTTAACTCTCTCGACTACTGCGGCCCCTTGTGTTTAACTAATAACCATGAAATTTAACAGAATACATGGAACTCCCTTAACGTTTGGACTATGGCAGATAAATCAGTAAAAACTCTAAATGATGTAGAGATGGTTGACCTTGATTATGATATGAGAGCAAGTTGGTAGGGTGGCGTGGTCAAATAAATACTATCTATTAAAATAGTATTTTATTGTTATTTTATTTTATAGTTATTAGTATTTTTATTGTATTTTATTTTAATAGATAGTATTTATTTGACCACACCCCCCAACCAACTCCTTTTCATATTATAATCTTTACATCATTATAAAAAACTATAAATGGTTGAAGAAAATAAAATTTTCTGAAACTTCTTCCTTATTAATTTTCCTGTAAAAATGAAAGACGAAAACAATTAATTTGACAAAAACTGTCAATGTAAGATAGTGAATGTTTTGAAAACTATAGCAGATAAAAAAGAATTAATAACACTACATATTGAGCTTTATGTAGATGTCAATCAGTTATAAATTAGCCAATCAAATTTATAAAAGTGGCGTGGCAATTTGCAGAATCAAAATTTTTGAGGATGCACATCTTGACCATATTATTGGGTTTGCAAACCTAGGTAAAAGAAAAAAGGCATGGAACAGATCACAGCAATTGCAATTGAATTTAAACTACAATTTGTATGATTTTAATTTTCTTTTTTTTTTACACCGTTTTTAAGAAGAGAAGAGCAATAATTCTTGTGAGGAGGTGGGTTATGTCTATATTTCTTACTTAAGTCACAATTATGTTTTAAAGCTAACAAATACTAGTTTCTGAAAAAACTGAGGCAAATATTTTATAATTTTTGTCTTTACTTACATTTTCTTTGACTTCTACGCCAAGAACCTGAACCCACATTGTTGCTCTCAAAGATCTTGGACAACCTTTTTTTAAATATTCTTGGGTCACTGGAGCATGATTAGTTTCCAGAACTACAAACAATATTACATTTTATTTCATTATTGTTGTTTTCCTCTTATTATTAATTAAACATTATGAACAAACTATATTTACAGGAATTATATATATATATATATATATATATATATATATATATATATATAATTCCTGTTTATATATTATATATATATCCTGTTTATATATAATATATATATATATATATATATATATATATATATATATGAATGGAAACATGTTTAATACCATAAGTAAGATATAACATAAAAAATACTATATATTTTACAAAATGGAAAATTCTGTTATTCAATATCTGTGTTATTCCCATAAAATAATTTTTATTTTATTTTTTAAATAAAATATTTGAGCAACAATATATTTTTATTTATGATCTAACTTTTTTGCTTCCTTTAAGGTAGGGAAGCATTGTGTTAGTGTTTTTTTCCACTCAAAATTTTAAAAATATACATAAATAGTTTTTAAATAAACTTAAATATTTTTAAAAATAAAAACAAACATAAATACTTATCATTCTTGTTGCTGTTGGACAATTCATTATGGATCTGTGGCAACACTGTCTCCACCATGTTTATAAGCAACCTTAAGGTAGGGAAGCATTGTGATCATTTCTCTACATTGTTATTCAGGTTGCTATTGTGCTCTACCTATGTTGCACTTGATTGTACATAACATGCAAGTTGTGTTCAATAAATATTGTCATATAACATGACCTGTTTCATCTTTGCCCTAATCAATAGAACCTTAGATTCAACAGTTACATTATTGTGGCATAGGCTTGGGAAGTATAACATTTAATAATAATTATGACATTAAAACTTTATAACAATAAAGAGGGCTATAGAGCGAATAAACAGCAAAGTTCTGTTTAAAAAAGTCATAATTGTTTGATTTCTTTTTTTATCATCTTTCAACTGTACAATGGTTACCCCACTTTTAGGAAAATATTCCATTTAATGAGCTTTAAATGCATATTAATTAAGTTGAGGTTTATCAGGAAATATTTTGGGACTCATCTCAAGATGTGTTAAGAAATGGTGTGGATTTTCAATCCAGTCACCTAAAAGTACCCCTGCTTTTAGAAATAATGACTACAATTAACTGTTGCAAAACTTTTATTTATTGTTCTCGTGTTGTGGGATGTATTGTAATGAAAATAATTGCCTAAAAACACATTTTGTTCATAAAAATAAAAAACTTAAAAATAATGATTTTTCACTGGTGGTTATGAAATTGTTTTTTTTTAATCCCAGATCTCCATCATAGCAATTGGTGTGTATTTATCAATGACAAACATAATGATTATTATTAAAATTTACATTTAAAATAAATACATCTACTGATTGCTTCAATTATTTTTATGAAAACGTAAATATTCGGGCTATAAACATTAGGTTTGTTACTTATAAATACCCATCATCAATTCCTATTATAGAAATCTGGGAGAAAAACAAGTTTGTAACCACCTTACATAAAATTATTTGAAAAATCATTCTTTTTGATTTTTATAAATAAAATGTGTTTTTAGGCAATTATGTTTACTAGTGTTTGCACAGTGGTCGAAATTTGACCATAGCCATTAAAAATTTGAGGAAAATATATACTTAAATAAAAAATAAATTCAATAAATAAAGAGTAAATCAGAAAATTCCCCATTTATTATTATAAACAAAATTTCAATTAAAAATCGAGCTTAAACTACTTAAAATTATTTATAAGTAATACAAAATATACTCATTCAAAATATTTAATTTCCATTTTAATTTAAATGTGTTCACATAAATTAATGTTATGATTAAGCAAGAAAAAAATAAATTTAAATTAGCAATTTCAATTGAGTTTAAATCCATTTCTACGTAGAACTTCTCTGTAAACAATGTTCTTTTTGAATTTTCTGTTATTATTTAGTACATAGCCTTGCCCATTGCCATTGGAAATATAAATTTCAAAATTTTAAATGAAGTGCTCTACTTGCTGCTACATATAATTGCTGGACGTCGCAATATACACAAATTTTTCCAAAATTATGAATCTGCGATTTGATTATGGTCATATTCATAGTAAATGCAGCTATTAAGAAGAATGTTGTTCTTTGAAATTCGAATGGAAGCATTTTGTCAGAATTAAAACTTAAAAATTAAAATTAATACTTGGTATTAAAACTCTTTTATTTAAAGTTGCTTCTGTTTCTACTTCACTCTCATTCGTGTTCCATTAACTAATGTTTGTGCAGTATTTAAGTAAAGGATGAGTATAACTATAAAAATTATTTTTAAATTTAATTTATGAGGTAATATTCAATGATATCATCTCTTTAAATAATAGTCCTCTGATTACTTCATTAAATGTAATGTTTTCAATTTATCAAAAACCAAAATAATGGAAATCGACTTTACAAAAGAAAAAGTATTAAATGTTTAAAATGATATTTCCCTGCAACAAATAGTCCGATTTCTTTCTGATTTCAAATAGGCCTGATGATAATGAACGTATACAAAAACACTTCTAAATATTATTGTGACATTGTGTCAAAATTTCAAAGCAGTCGGTGAAGAACTTTAGGAGATTAGCTGTTTTGACTAAACTATCATTTATATTTTTATTTACAAACTATTTCATATTTTTATATATTGATAACACTAAACCTCGTCAATAGCTATTAAACAAAAAAAGAAGGAAGAAAATCGGTTGAATAATAAAAGAGAAAAAGGGGCTGAGCCATTTTGTGTTTGCCTATTTATCAATTACAATACATCCCATAAAACGGGAAAACAATAAATAAAACCTTTGCAACAGTTAATTGTTGTCGTTTTTGCTGACAAGAGTACTTTTAGGTGACTGGATAGAAAATCACATAATTTCTTTACACAACTTGAGGTGAATATCAAAATTTTTCCTAAAAAACTTCATCTTAATTAATATGGACTTATTAAATGCGGACATTTTTCTAAGAGTGGGGTAACTGTAGTACACTTGAAAGATGATAACAAAACAAAAACAAATAATTTATGACTTTTTTAAACAGAACTTGGCTGAGTTTGTTCACTCAATAGTCCTCTTTAAATGGTTTTAACAACGACAAACTCTACTTTCCTTTGAAGTAAATTTTACCTAGTTAACTATGGAGTAATGTTTAAAGTAATTATTTAAATCAAATATTGCTTCCATTCAACAAAAAGCATGACTCGCATAAAAAAACACAAATCTTAAATTTCCTACTTTTTGCTGGAAATTGGGCATTTGTTTATATAAACTTTTTTGTAGAATACTATCAAAAGTTTTAATATTTCCCTCTACTTATGGGACATCCTGTATACTCCTTTAAGAATTGTTCTCTGTATGAGTTACAAGAGGAACAGTGCAAGAGAAAAAGTTTGAGACCACAAGAAAAGGCACCGATCAAAACCAATTCTATTCATAAACAAATTTTCAACGCTCTAACTAAATTGGGACTCAAATCCTTAAGAACCAAGCAAAACAGTGGAAAAAATTTCAGGGGCGTGTAAAAACAGTTAAGGACAAAACTTTTGTTCAAACAAATGAAATTAAGTTTTAATATAATATTACCTTTTTCTCCTAATGCAGTTCTTTCAGCTAAAAGTGTTGGATAATTAGGGTTTTCACTTTTCATGTTTGGATTATTCCCTAATAATAAATCACCTCTTGATATTTCACTGTAGAAGTTCCTCTATCAACAAAATTAAACATTATTCTAAACATGATAAAAATATAAAATAATTATTATTATTAGAATACTTACTAATTCTTTGAATGTCTTTACCATTAAAGGTAACTGAATGAAGTCCCACTGTAATTTCATGACACTAAAAAATATTTCGAATACATATAATTTGGTATATATAGATAATATTTGATTATAACAAATAGGTCTACTTTAGACCCCAGAGAAGAAAGGGAAAGGCTTACAATTGTTCAAAATTGAGTTTATAGAAAACATCTTACAGAAATATAGTCTTGGCCAAAACTCTGTTATGGTGACTTTTATGTTTATTTTTGTGATTAGTATTTTTTTTTTTGGAACATTATAATGATAATAATAAATGCCTACCGCCTACCTTCACACACTAAAAATTAAGTTAACAAATAATTAATGGGGATTTTTTTTGTCAGTCTCAATGATGCCTTCACTAGTTGTTAATTGATATTTAAGAAACAGGAGATTTCATTTTGGAATCTTCCATTAAAAAGTTCATAAATCTGTGTACTACTTACTTTCCTTTAATTTTATATTACTAAAAATGGTGATATTTGGAAGACATTGAAAGAATGATCGTCATTTTTTTTTTTTTTTTATTCACCTGTATTTGGAAGAAAGTAAGAGAATGATAGTCATTTTATATATTTTTTTGTTCACCTATATTTGGAAGGAATAATATTAAATTGAATTTTTTAAAGACCTAATAAATTACAAATTTGTGTAGATGTTATGAACTTCTGGTACCACTTTCCTAAGAAGAGAAAAAAATGAGATATATTTTATCCAAACTCTTACCAACTTTCAAACATGGACAACATACCAATCTGATTTGAGGCTGTACACACTAGAATACTGTTCAATTTTGAAGACAAGGAACAGTGAAAACTACTAAAAATTATTTATTTAAAAAAACAAAACATAAATAGCTACATTTTTAACCACTGGCAGTCATGGTAATAATAATTTGAAAAAAAAACATATTTCTGTAATGCTGTATGATAGTCAAGTATTTTGGATAATTTTTTTTTCACTACTATTTACATGTCCTTGATTGAGAAAGATTGTAATATCTCTCAATAAATATGTTTTAAAAAAAAAACTATTTAAAAAATCAAGATTACAGGTTGCTTCTAGGGAGGCAGTGCGTCATCTCACAATACATAATTTGTATACCTTCAACAACACCTGTTACATTTTTCCGATTTCTGAAACAGCCATGCTATTCAAAAAGCAATGTAAGGTGATAAATGAATGATTACCACCCAATATTTCATGCACTATAATTTAAATGTAAATGTATTGCTTACATAACAGAATCTTCGTATTAGTGTGAGAGATTAAAGAAAATTTGTGCTGAGAATCGAATATCTCCACTTGCATTTAACTTTTTACAAATCAAGGGAAAAAAGTAATTGGTGCAGTGTTTGTTAGAAGTAAAATATATGTGATGGACATATCACCTACTACTTACCATTAGTCCGATTTTATGGAACTTTTGGGATTTTAACACATATTTGTCCGGTATATTTTTGCTCTGCCTTTCACAAAATGACGGCATCTCTTTATCTCTGTTTGGTAAAAATTGGAATTTAATTTATTTAGAATTGAAAGAACAAGAATCAATTAATTTTTGTAATATACAAATGACAAATGTACGTCATTTGGCTATTAGTGACTTTTCAAAATGACGAATTTTTGTATTGCGGACGAATATGTGTTAGTGGTTGGTATGGGAATGGTTCCATATTAATTTCATCCAATACTTCTGCTTGTGTTATGATATACCTATAGATCAAAATTGGCTCTTTTGATTTTGCTCTAAGGTGATTTTTCTCTAATTTAATTCTACGGAGTTAATTGACCAAATTCGTTGTCTGTTTATTTTTTCCCTCTTGTCTTACCTATGTATAACATTTGTTTATTAAGCAAACACCGTGATTATGCACATAAAGCCAATATTAATACCAAATATCTGTTAGTTTTTTTTATTTGTTTATATAAACCAGCAGAGTGAAACAAATGTGTGATGAGATGGCTTTTTATGTTTTATCTCTAGATGATATATTTAGTTTATTTGATCATGTTTTTTCGTTCCTGATGATGCTGAAAGCAGAGAAATTTTTACAGGTTCGCCATTTCCCAGTATTAAAGACTTTGAAGGCTCTCTGGCCAAAACTAGTAAGTCGACTTATCCTCAAATTAAGTCGATCATAGTTTAACTCTTGGGCTGTTATGCCATTGGTGATATTCAATAACTCTAGATTCCAGTAGTTTCCTTTTTTTGATTACGATTTGATTATTTTGATATCTCATTAAAAGAAATTAAAATTTTGTCAGGTGTAGTTAACTTATTTTTTATCTGTTTTTGGTTTATTAGTTATGACTAGGGATCATTAACATATCCTAGTAACTTATTTATTTCTCTTTTTAAATTTTTGTTAAAGATTGTTTGGATTGCAGTTAGTGAAAAAAAAAAAATTGCCAATATTTCAGTCTAAGTTTCAGGATTTAATAAGGGATAAGAAACAAAAAACAACCTGCAAAAATATATCAGCAAAAAATTACAAGACATCATAAAAAATATGAAAATTATGTTATTTACTTATAAATAAATATTAAGTGAATAAAACTTATGTTCTGTAAGATAAATTAAAATATAGAAGAACACAATTGAAAGAAGAGGATGTGTTTGAGGCAATTTTAAATTATATAAATTTTTGATCAGCTATAGGTTTTTTATTGCAAATAAACATATGTAACAAGTTATTAACCTTATTTTTATTGAATTTTATTGTCACAGGAGCCCCTATAATTGACAACTACCAAAATATGGAAAAATACATGAGCATTGTTAATTGAATTCTTAGGATAAAAGGTTGGCAAAAAATAAAATATTTTTTTTAATGTGACTGTAACCATATCATATTATCATATGACAAAAAAATATATATATATTTTTTTAATGTGACTGTAACCATACCATATTATCTAGTCAACTATTTTTCCACCATTAATACACAGATTGTTGGATAAAAATGACCATAAAAATCATGCAAAATTATCTTCATAATACCACCTGGTTATTTGCTTGAAGAAACTTACTTTGGGCATTTATAATTCGGACTGCGAATTGCTAATAATACTTCCAAGAAATCTTTTGGTGCGTAGACTGGACGATATTGACTTAAATCTGAAACAAATAGTTATAAATTATTTGCAACATTTATTTTTAAGTAAAGAATTTTAATTTTAATAATATTAAATTTAATAAAAAATAATTTTATTTAAAAAAAATTCAATAACTTTCTTTTCGTTCCCTTCCTCACCTTTTAAGGTATACACGGTTTTATCGGCCCGGAGTGAGGGCAGGGGATTAATGCCAGATGTTAAAAGCCTCCGCAGATGTTAATCTATGCTACCGCACCAAACCTCTTTGTTTTATTTTTATTATTAGTATCCATACCATTGTATTTAATTTAATAGCTTCCACACCTTCCCCCATAAGCAAAAGGAATATTACCGATGTTAAATCTTATTTGGAAAATAAATTTTCTATCGAATGAAATGGTAATTAATATAAAATTGAGAAAGAAAGTTTTTATACTTGAATGAACCTCAAACTTCCAAAAATAAAAATTACCAATCTTAACTCAATTCAATTTTTGTTGATTGAAGTATGAAGATTGAAATGTAGACTAACTATAAGCAATACATTCATAATGATTTATTCATTTTGATAGCTTCTGGAAGCCACTTCTTGACCAAACATTTGTCAGGGTTTTACAATTTATATATAGATTAAAATGATAAAACTATTATTACTGACCTACATCGTAAATACTAAGTTCGTTCCATTTATCATTCATTTCTTCTTTGTCGCTCAAGACTCTAGATTGTGCAAGGTGTATTTTTATTTCAGATGCCATTGAATTTAAAGATTTATGAATTCTTTTCTGCCAAGTAGCCTAAAAAAAATATAATGAAAATTAAGATATTTTTATATATTTTTTAACTATTTAAAAAAAAAATAATAATAATGCTTACTTGTGATTTCCTGAGATAAATCAAAGGCTCTCTGGTCGCTGCAGGATTTTTATGAGACCGTACCCATTGAAAAATTGTGTTCCTTAGTTCATTCTCCATCCCATTCATTTTCATCGCTTCTAATAAGGTATTCTTAAAGTTTGTATTTTTGACAGCTGATTTCGATACCAATTTCTGTATGAAAAATAAAACAAATATTATTAGGCTGATTATTAGTATATAAATTAAAATAATCTTCCCTTCGTAATTGAACATTGAGCCCTTTTTTTTTGTTTTTTTTTAAATACAACTTTATTTTCGACCAACAACTATATTTCTAGAACCGGATGAATTGAACATTTTTATAAAAAGTACTTCAAACTCAGTATTATTGTATTATTGCCTTTTGATCAAAAACCCAATATTAATGATTAAAACATATGAACTAAATACATCCCCTCTATAATTTTTATTTGATTGTATAATAACAATTAAACTTAAATTATAAATCCTCCTAAGATTTTATAGAACTATCCTTAACTAGAGTAAAATAGAATTAATTAATCATTCATTGAAGTTATTAAATGTAATTATATTAATGAGTGATCATCATATGTTAGTTCTAAATTATAACTAGATACTAAATATATTTTAAAAAAGTATATATGCAGCTATTAACTAATTAATTAATTAGGTATTAAGTAATGAAATACGATTAACAAATTTATTTAAGAGGTTTTCAGAAATTTTGGTTGTAACGAAATTACTAGATGTAATTTAATAGTTCTGGCATTGTATAATCATTTCAAATCAATGTCAGATTATTTTAAATTAAAATAAAATTTGGAAATACATAAAAATCTAACAACATGAAAAAATTCATAAACATTTAATGTTTAATGGTTAATTTTTAGTAGAAATAACAAAGTTATAGATGAATATTTGCCTGAAAGTGAAATAAATGTAGTGTTCATAACTTTACCATGAAAAAAATTGAAGAACTATCATAATTAATTGATATGCATAATAATGCTAAGGAAGCATTTGATTATACTAAAACTATACCTGGAGATCTTCATAAAAGGTTTTGTACATTGTCATTTTCTTCAAATCTGATGTCAGCTTCTCTGTAGTTGCATGTATACTATCTTTTAAATCTGCCATTATTTATACTGATTTAAACACACTTATTTCACACTGGATGTCTATATATTTTTCTTATTTGTAAATACCTCCATTTTACCATCTAAAACACAGTTATGATCCATCTAATTATAACTGCGTCCGAAAGATAAACATCATTAACTAAGTAAACCCATTAAATATATTTGTAAACCCATAATTATAATTAATTTTGAAACAAGTATATTTTAGTGTTATATGGTTACTATGGTAATCACCTTGGTTAAGATAGGTTTTCCTAGCGACTGAGTTTTTCCACTAAGGAAATGACAGAACTCGTGTCCTTGTTTCATTTCCACTTGGCAATAGAAATGGTAATTGTGATTTTTGGCATACGCTAGCGGCGTGCTTTGTGAAACTCCTTTCCATAATAGACTAGGATCTACCACCGGATTCATTTAACAGAAGGACTTACGCTTGATACTGGGCTCAAAATACTCAGCGAACCAATCTAAAATAGTATGCGACATGACTGACGACATTAATCTTTGTAATTTTAAAACTGACTTGATTTTTTAATTTTAATTGAAGCTATTCAACGAAAAACCTTATGGCCGAAAATTATCTCATTCGATAGATTAGATGAAAATGAATCGAAATCGTACCAACTGACCGCTTAGATCGCTTGCAATTTAAAAACTGACGCCCTCAAATTCATACAATTCGTGGGATATACTTACCCAAAGAAGTCCTGGAGGCAGTGGCAAAATAGGTATCATATTTCGTACTAAGGTTTGTCCTTATTAATTGACCATATCCACAGGCCTGATCAGAAACATGCAGGTCTGCCAGCATATAGCCGCTGGAATACAAAATGGCGGCCTTGTGAAGACAGATATAGAGCCTACATAGGCTGTAAGCGTATATTTAGAGAGTGCTTATAGATATATAAAGCTACCAATCCTTTCAATTCATAGTATTTACAGTCTTAAGACATGAAATAATAATCAGTTACCCCATAGGCCTGAATTTCAAGTTGAAAAATTGAATTTACGAATCAAAAAGTTTACGGTTTTTCGCTTATATCAGTAAAACAACAATGCGTTCTCTTTAAAATAATGTGATATGTGAAATTAAAGCTTACAAAATTTGCAATGGAAATGGTTATATTAGTTGTTTCACTATATCATATAGTTTCCGTTATATCCGTCCTCGTAATTCACAAATTTTGAAAAAAGTTTTTCACGGAATTTTTATCATTATTTGACTCTCCAACTCTTTATCTTTTTATTTTACAAAAACGTCATACGGAAGAAAGTTGTTTAATATTAAATTTTCTTTAATAATATACATTATTTTACTATCATGGCTGATAAATATTCAGGACGCAGTCATTATAAAAATTTTTAATTTGTGCCGACGTTTCAAACCAAACATGTGAGTCATCACCAGAGCTGAAAATTTTAAATTACAACCAGAGATATAATTATGCTATGTATTGAACATAGCAAATAAGTTTTAAAAATTGTTATGGGCTGCGGAAGTTGAATGAAATCGACTTCTGACATCAGAAACAACGTCAAGAGGGAGAGTAGGTAGATAAGGAGCGACCTATACCTGGACCCTGGGGAAGGCTTAGAGTAAAAAATGATAACGGGCTAAGTAAGTAACTGGTTCTTTTTAGGGTGTTACCAGTTATTGTGAAGTAATAGGATGAAGTTAAGAACCTATGAAAACCATCCTTGTCTCACCCTCAATATTCATATAAAATCTACCGAGAAGCAAGAAAAGAGGTCTTACGATGATTTCCGGCCTTGAGGATAGGTCTTATGTTGAGTTCCGGCCTTGAGGATGGGTCTTATGTTTTCCTCCGGCTTGGGGACTGAAGCTTTGGCCCAACATAGACCAAGAAGATCCTAGCAGAGTTTTGGACCTGTCCTTGACAGATGACCTCGGATCTCTAGATGCAGCGAGGAAATATACTATCTACACCACTTTACATACCATAATAGCTAACTTGTAATTCCCAACCATAATGTTATAATATTTCATGGCAATAAATTCTCAAAACAGTCCATCTGAAATCATACCTTCACAGTTAATTATTAAATTCATTGAATCGTGTATTTAGTTTCTTGTATATATTATTTGTATATAATTCTTTATTAAACATAGTAATAAATTAAGTTGTTTAGTAAAAGTTATTTTAATTCTGCCACCTATATATATCATGATGATCACAGGTAATGTTGGTAATTATAAAGCACCAATTAATTAATTCTGAACCAATCAATATTTTATAGACCCAAAATTGTTTAACTAATCTTTTATTAATAATTTTTATTAAACATTTCTGGGTAATTATCATCAATAATTACCCGCTGTCATCCCAAATAAAAATTAACTCCCCCAAAACGTAGCAATATTATACGACTGATAATGGTAAATAATAAACTATAGTGATTGATGATACATGAATCTTAACTATTATTACAATACACAATATTAAAAATGAAATATGTGAAAAGTTATACAAAGTACACATAATGTATATAATCCATTTATAAAAAATTGTAATATTTTCTCTTGCTAACCGTGGTTCGAGCACTGAAGGCTTTCTGACACATTTTGGTAGGTAAATGAAAGGGTCGGGTGAGGAATTTTCAGTTGTTCTTTTTCAGATAGCAAAAGGTAGGTAAATATAATCAGAGAGAGGGAGGGAGGTAAGATTTCTTTTAGAAGATTGTAAATAATTTGCTGACTAAATATTTAAGATGTGTTCAAGATTTGCATTGTTTCTTATGGTTACACAATTGTGACTATTGGCTATTAATGAAATGAACATAAGCAAGAGGTGCCAATCAATATAAATATAGTATAGTTTGATTGAAGGTATACAATGTTTAGCCAAATAATATGTATAATAAGACAATTGTAATGAATTGAAATGATACGTAGGACAATATTTTAAAAATAACAATATTAATCATAATAGAAGTATGCATTATATTAAGGATTACATAGTTTCAATAGTATAAGTATAAACATATCTGTGCCTGTTTACAATATATATATATATATATATATATATATATATATATATATATATATATATATATAGAGAGAGAGAGAGAGAGAGAGAGAGAACAGGATCGTTGTATAGATTTCTTAATTTACTGCTATTTTTGAAAAACTATTTGTACATGGGAGAATTTGGAAGTTAAAGCTTTTTTGAGATAGGACTGGGACGTATGGAATGGATCTTTATTGGCGAATCGTGAGGGGAGATTGAGAGCAGTTTATGGGAGACTGGTGAATATGAGGTTTGGATTGATTTTTTATTAGGTTTTTTTTAATGTGATCAGAAAAGGCGTTGGATTTCAGGATCTTGTGTAGTTTGGTAAGGTTAATGTCGTGGAATTGGGGATCAGTTAATGTTAGACTGCGGCGTATCCGGTTTTTAGCTACACTGATTTTTTGGTGGTAAGAATGGGGAAAAAAATCGTTTGGAGACGGCCGGAGTAGGTAGGTTTGGTGTAACAACTAGTGGATAAGGTTTTATCATTATTTCTGGATATGAAGAGGTCAAGAAACGGGAGGGAATTATTTGATTCTATTTCAATGGTAAAACAGAGTCAAGGGTAGTATGAGTTGAATGAAGAAAGTATGTTTGGAATAGAGTGGAGATTGAGGATTAATAAAAGGTCGTCAACATATTTTTTAATGAAAAAAATATTTGGAAATTTTGGTGGTATCGAATCAATTCAGTTGTTTAGGACAATACTGGAGAGATCTGGTGCAAGGCAATTACCCATCACCAAGCCGGAAGTTTGATGAAAAAATTTGTATTGAACAGATAGGTAGCCGTAGTTACAACATAGAGAGGGGGGCTGAAGGAATGAGGATTGATTGAGGGAAGTGTGTGGTTCTATGGTAGACCAATTTTCTTCAATTATTTGGTCCCTCACGGTCTGTGGGGGTATTGGTGAAGAGAGTTTCTGTATCAAGGGAGGCTAAGATGAAATGTGGTGGTATGTTCAGGGATTTTAGTTGAACTAATAGGTCTCCATATTCCTGACAACTTTATCCTTGTTTCCCTAGACGCCGAAAGCCTATTTACCCACATCTCAATAGACAAAGCCCTCCACATTGTACAGAAAAACTGGACATCGAACCTCACACCACCCTTAACCTCTCCTCATATCTTGAATCCCTTGAGCTTCGTTGCAGATCCGGACACCTCACCTTCCAAGGAAAATTCTTTAATCAGATTTCAGGCCTAGCCATGAAAAATTCTTTAGCACCAGATATTTCCAATATGGTTCTCAATGACCTTCTAGTCTCTGTTATCCCTTCTTTTCATCAAGACATCATTTTCATCAAAAAATATGTCGATGACCTCCTTGTTCTTAACCCTGACAGCACCCCTCAAATTCTTTCCCCATTCAACTCTTACCAACCCCGTCTCCGTTTCACTATAGAGAAAGATGTCAACAATTCACTCCCCTTCTTAGACCTCCTAATAATAAAAACACTGATAGCTATGTTTCTACGGATTGGTAAACTAAACCCACATACTCAGGCAGTCTACTAAACTTTTATTCTCAACACCCATATCAGCAAAAAATCAATACCGCCAGAAACCTTATTCACCGATCCCTCTCTTTATCTGATTCACAATATCACCAAGCCAACACTCAGCGTGTCAAAAATATAATCCTTGCCAATAATTTCCCTCTCAACACCATACTGAAACTTTTAAACTGCTATACAACCAAAAAGAGTACAACATCTCCTTCTCCCAACTCCCCACAATCACCTACCACTCCTTTCATATATAAATCTCTTCCCTATATTCCTGTTCTCTCAGATAATATACACAAATTCCTTAAATCGACTATAACCAACTTACGTCTTGGCGTTAAGTCCCATAACAAACTTTCTTTCCTTTTCATCAACTTGAAGGATCCCATACTTTTACAACACCGATCTAATGTAGTTTACCGGATACCTTACTCTACTCCTAATTGTAATAGCCCCTA